TTTAGATTTAAACATCTAGCAGTTAAATCCTTAAAAAATAAATAAAATCATAATCCAGCCATATAGTGCGGGTGCCGGGTCCATCGTGTGGGAGAGAGAGAAACTTTGGGCAGTTTCTAGGACTCACGACTCAGGTGTAGGTTTAAGGAGGCCTCATTTGAGATGCGCATCAACGCTCACCTTCACTGCTCGAGTTGCCCGCCCTTCCGAGCCAAATTTGATAGGAGCCTGTTAATGCAGCCTTATTTACTCGTTCCAAAATTGAATTTACTGCAGTTCTCGACAGGCCAAAGTCTTTTAGAGTCTGTGCGGAAAGAGAATGGGATTATTAACGTATTTGTAAGGTTTTACCCCTTTTAGACATGATTAAATACAAAAAACCGCAAGAAATCACAACAACAATCAAATCCGTATCAATACAAAACTTTAAAATTTTAAAGATTGGTGGTTTTGATTGCCGAATAAAAATCTTAATGTTAGTTCCGTTTTTCGCCACGCCTATTCTCTTTCCGCACAGACTCTAGAAGGTTATTGAATGTACTGCAGTTCTCGACAGGCCGAAATCTTTTAGAGAGATTTTGATAGTATACTTCGTTGGAAAAAGTTTGTTTGTTCTTATGTTCTGCTATGTTTTCATAGCAACTTTGAGGTTGCGAAACTTTGTGTTTTAAACAAAATAATATTAAAATAATAATTAAGTATGTTGGAAAGAAATGAAAGAAACATCTTATCTGATTTTACTTATTCAAATCTCTTTTGAATCGTCCATAATCGTCCATATTTTAATATGATGCCATTGATAAAGTGACGTGATTTGTTGGATCTGCGATTTCTATACAAACTTGTAATTGGTAAATTAAAATAATATAGTCAGGTAACAAATGCGTTTCTATGATGTCTTCTCAAAGCCCGTTTTTTTGTAACAATAACATATTTATTGTATTATGCCATAAGATAACATTCTTTATGGCAGTACAGGTGACTCGAGTGACGCGTTTTACGATTTTTACGATACGTTTCACGCAATTCAACAATTTTAAGAAGAAAATCGTAATCTATAAAAAACAGTAGTTCATGTAGAAGATATCTTATAAAATCGGGAGACCTAGCAACCCTGGTCGTGTCATTGCTGTAGGTATGTATGTTTAAGGTATATGTTTGGTAGTTATATGGTGTAAAAATAAAATTAAGACGAACGCATCTTTCCATTGTGTGATAGACGCATCTATAAAAAGTAGCCGTAAGAAATAACAAGCAATGTTTACATGTGAATAAGGTTGATAATCGCATGACTAGCGATAAGAACGGTACTTAAAGCAACACGTCAAGACACCGTGACGATTTACTGTACCACGACGATTGTGTGTATCAAGGTATGAAGTTACTCATGCTGATGAAATAGGCGATTGTGTACGCGAGCACAACGCGGATAGGTAATACACGAAAATGCGAGTTCTAGAAAAATATTTTTCCGTGCAAAATAGAAGTAATGCTTCAAAATTTGTATTAAATAGTTCTATCGTAATGAATTAACCGCTCACTTACTTTCAGAACACTATTGTCTCCGAGGCCAAAAATCCATTTTGATCCTTGGACACTATAGTGACCAGGACCAAAAGCCCGTTGTTTGCATCATGGACGCTGTAGTGTCCAACAGCTGACCCGCCAAAAATATGGCTGTCACGCTCGAAGCTATATTCACCCGTATTTTTTACGTTATGTAATAAATAAATAATTAGTTCCAACACTCACACCAATAAGCCTAGCCCCAAAGTAAGCACTGTAGCCTTAGTACGAACCAGTATCGAATTCGAATAGTTTGCGAGTTTGAAATGTCAATGTGAATATGGAAACTTGAACAGCAGCGCCACAAAGTACGTAACGAGAACTAAAAATCAGTACAATTTGACACTGACATTTCAGATTCGCAAACTATTCGAATTCGATATTGGTTCGTGCTAAGGCTACTGAAGGCTTATGTTAATACTACTAGGGTAACGGATACAATACATATATAAGTATATTTATAAAGATATACATATGAAACATCTATGACTGGAGTACATATGCTCTTATTCATCACACAAACATCTGCCTCCGACGGGACTCGAACCCGGGACCCCTCGAGTAGGTGACACCTTGAAATCCGGCGTACAAACCACTCGGTCACGGAGGTCGACAAGTGTTACGTTAAGAAATGGTACATATTCCTGCCGCTAGAGCCTATGACTGTTCATACAAACTTTATACCTACTCAATTTGTACGAGAGCTCAATTTTTTGAGACTTTTTAGCGGTTAGCTGCCTGCGTGTCTTAAGACTCAAGACTAGGCGATAGCTCGATCGATAATAATTTGACACGCATAAAAGAGATTTTGTTTTTTGTTTTTTTTTTTTGAGTGTGTGTATGCTGTTGGTCGCAGATGACCTTTACAGCGTCACCGGGTTTGGGGACGGCGAGATCCTAAGGAGGCCTCAAGCCGAGAATTGGCGAGTGCCTCTAGAGGTATTCCAGGCAGATGGCATCTCCCCACGGGGGGAGTCTCCTCTCCGTCTGGAGCCTCTATACCACTCGAACCTGAGCGGGTTAGAGATTTTGTTGGAGACGATAAATTTGTATGTGCAGTGCTAAAAGAGCGGACTTATTTCAAAGTTTGAAGGCAAATTTAACCGCATTTCGTTTAAGCGTACCAAAGCTTCGTCACACAAGGTGGTAGATGCATAAGCTCATGTTCCAGTAATTTGGTCGATATTTGTGAGAGATTCTAATACCGCTGGCTTTAATAGTCACTCGAAGACGACCTCCGTGGCTGAGTGCTTTGTACGCCGAGTTTCATAGTGTCGCCGACTCGAGAGGTCCCGGGTTCGAATCCCGGTGGGGGCAGATGTTTGTGTGATGAACATGAGCATTTGTACTCCAGTCATGGATGTTTAATATGTATTTCTATATAAATATACTTTTAAATGTACAGTTTATGTATTCTATCCGTTACCCTAGTATCCCATAGCACAAGCCTTACAGTGCTTACTTTGGGGCTAGGCTAATTGGTGTGAGTGTTGGAAATATTTAAAAAAAATAAAAAGAGACTGCGACAAGTAAATCCATTGGAGGAACATCAGTCCTACCACAAGACTCCAACAAATTTTATATCGTTCCTTCTTTTTTTATCGATATTTTTTAGAATTATTTGTACGTCATCTTTATTTTTTTATTTGTCACATAAAAGTGAAATATTTGCGGAACCATAATGCACAATTTTCGAGTTCAGTAGGCCATCATTTGATGACGTTGAAAATGTTTGTACGCGTCTTCACTAATGGACCAAATGCGCCTGTTTCAATTACATGGTTTCATCTAAAACCATAAAACCATCTTTGCATTATAGCCTCTGAAATGAAACCGTTTGGGGCAAATCGTTTAGACGATCTAAAGACACAGATAGATATATTTTTTTATTTTATGGAGATCTAAGCATAAAATGTTACCTCTTGCAAAAAAAACTATATTTTACACCTACGAAGGCTATCTCACTTTTATAAATAAAATAATTCGCCTTTACTTATTATTTCTTCAATGCCCAGCAATGATATAATAATTCAGAGCAGAATAATCAAATGACATAAGTGACAAGTGACAACACAAAATAACAAAAGAACAATAGCCAACCAAGGACAGACATAGAAACGCTGTCTTAGTAACCAGTATACTGGGTACGTTGGCTTCTTACTTTCACTGAGCATTATCTACACAGTAAAATAACTCTAGGTATTTACAGGGCCGGATTTAGAGGTCCAGAGGCCTCGGATCAACAGAGGAGCGGAGGCCCCCAAATTATTTTCCAAATAAAGTATACATTTTTTTTTCAGTCGAGTTTTTCAATAAATAATTTATTGTGAACCAAGTAGATTCCCTTAGTATTGAACAAACACATATAAATATAAACTGAAACATGAATTATCTGAAATTAAATCTTAGAGTTAACGAACGGAACCTTTCGAGCTTTTTTCGCCGAAAAATCGTTGATGATTTCGATTTTTTTTCCGAAGTCTCTATTGTGGGGGCCCCCCGTTTGTGGAGGCCCTGGGGCTTTCGCCCCGGTTGCCCTCCCCTTAATCCGGCAGTGGGTATTTATTAACGTATTTTGTATTTATGTCAATTTACTGCCTATCTTTACATTTAATGCTTCACCTGCAAATCCGCGACGAAGCTCCGGGTGGCATTGGTACTAAATTTGGCGCTAGAATTAGCATTCGTAATTGGAATTAGAGTTCTGTTGCAAGAATTTTCGAGCAGTATCTACAGAGGCTAGACGATAGCTTGACTAGCGATAATTTGACACGCATAACGGAGTAATTACACTTCAGTCGTTAGGCCGTTAACGGGTGTTAATGGCCTAACGACTGAACCTAACCTAACCTTTTTTTACCCAGAGAAATGCATGAGGCATACCCCGCCGCTGGGTGAGGCGACGGGGTTATGTGGGACTCCTCCTCCTCCACTCAGCCAACCCTAGGGCTGGCTCTGTGGCTGCTCAGGATGGGGTGGGGGGGGGGGGGGGGAGGTTACCAGCTAAAACTCCGGGATGTGTCCTCCTCTGCCGGATATGACGGCGTGGGTTCCTTATTGGGAACGCCACCCCGGCGGGCAATGCAGGCGTGAATTTACCTAACCCACGCCCGCTGGCCTAGATTAGAGCGGAAGGAGGCGGTCAAATGCAGGCCTCCTACCGCCCTGCCGTCTGTGAACCTAACTTAACCCCGAAGCAATATTTACACTGGAATACGGACTGGAAGACGGTGTCGGAGAACCAAATACGTAAACTACCCGAATACCCCGGGCGTAGTCGATTCCTTTTATTTAGACTTAGTCATTTCCCCGAATTCCATTGACACTCGTATTCGGGCTAATGAATACGACTTTTAGGGTGCTATTATTTGTCCAGACGCTATATTTCGCATGGAAAAAACGCAATGTATACTAAAATTGTTCTCTTGTTACAGGTTACGAAGAGATGTACACAATATCACACTTATCACCAAAATCAACAGCTCAGCAACTACCAGAAGACGTTATTTTACAAACAAGCCAAGCGGAAAGTGTAGCTTTTAGAATAGAATCGAGTGTAGCATTAGACGACGCAGATTTAGTACCTGAAGATATCATAACTGATGATGAACAAGAAAACCTTGTGAGAATCGCAAGATCCGCCGATCCTAACGAAAGAGAATCACGCTCAATACATTTTGAAGATAATAATATTCCGTTAGCAAACAACGAAATAGATAACCACATAGAATTGCACAACAAGAGGAAATACTATGAAATAAGACCGACAAAGAGTTTGAATTATTTCCATAAAAGTGATGATGAGATCGTTATGTCTTCTGACGGTTTTGGTGATAGACTCGAATTCAGGTTTCCGGGGGAAGGGAAAAGGGTCCCGATAGCGCGTGCACTGACGCTACCGGGGCCCAGAATTCGGCCTACTGCAGTGCAGCCGATTTTTGCGACGTCCAACCTTAACCACCAGGGTAGACAGAACAGCGAAATACAAAACATCATCACTGGCATTGTGAAACTCTTGAATGGAAATGTGAACGTGCAAGCCAATACTCAACTTATGAATGGCCGACCAGGTCGCCCTATGGCATCCAGAATAAACAATCGAGGCCCTCCGAGGATCTCTGATCTTCCACCATTACCCGAGTTCGATCCACCAGTGACGCCTCCCGTTCATGCTTATCACCCAACCAAAACGCCTCCACCATATCCCTTCGATCGACCACCTCATCATGGTGTCAATTTACCTGAACAAATTGTACCACCACTGACTCACAGACCAGGGTTTCACAGACCGATGCCTCCTTGGCAGAGGCCTAGACCCCGGCCACCAAATAGAAGGCCTAACCCTGGTCTTCCTATGTATAAGCCTGCCCTTCCACCTCTCCCTCATGATCTTCCAGATTTAGAAGACAAGAAACCTGAGGAAGAACAGACTGTAAGTGAGAATGAAACTAGTCATTCCGAAAATACCATACATCACGAACAAGAAAATAATGTACCGACTGTAGCTCTCCCAGGAGGTAATAGCACTGAAGAGGAAGAAGATGAAGATGAAGATGACGAGGAAGTAACTACAGCCGCTGAGACTACCTCTACTTCAACGACAACTTCTACAAGTACAACTAGCACAACTACATCAACAACGACCACTGAAGCAACAACTACTTCAACGAGCACAACAACAGAAAAACTTACAGAGAAATCATCGACAACTACTGAACAACCAACCACAAGTGAAGCTACAACTGAAAAACCTACAACTAGTGAGAAACCGAAAACAGATAAGCCATCCAAACTAGAAAAAGACAAGAAAAAAGATTCAGGCACGGAAAAAGAGAAAGTCAACAAAGACAAATACAAGATTATTAACGAAAAACCGGTAAATAATACTGTCAAAGAAGAAACACTAGTGGTTATCCCAATCGAATCATCGTTGTCGGAGCCTAAAACTACACCAACAGTTACGTTTGCTGAACCGACGCCGACAGATGGCCTATTGACTCATTCTACTACTGTTAGTGATCCGTTAAGCTCGATTGAAGTGATTAAAACCTCATCGATCAACCCCGAAACATTGCCTTGTAAGTATACAGTCTCATTTGTTACAACTGTTTGTGTTTAATAAAATACACTTAATTTTTTCTTTCTCCTTCTTAGGTCTATTACTAATAGAGTCAATATATAAAACAAAGATTCCTTTACTGTCTTAATTTATTCGAAATTATAAAAAACCGTCCAAGAGCGTGACGTGCCACGCGCAGTGTAGGGTTCCATAGTTGCCTGTAGTTACCGCAACATATTTGAGCAGGAGTCTTTATTTTCTATATCGGAAATAAGAAAAATCAATTAATATCAATTTCTGTATTCCAACTAAAAATGATCTTAAAAGCACCTAAGTTATTTTAAAGGACATATGTCTCACAATATGGGGTAGATGATGAAAAAAAATTATACCCAGGTTACATGTAGGGGAACTACCCTAAAAACAAATATTTTTCATAATTCTATTCTACCATTTTGTTGGCGTGATCGATATACATATCTCCACAAAATTACAGCTCTCTAGTGCTTATAGACTCTAAGCCAAACCGGGGACGGACAGACGGACATGGCGAAACTGTAAGGGTTCCTTGTAGTTTTGCCCAAAATGTAGTATCCTAATTAATTTTGAATTCTATAATACTATTTTCAACAAAAGGAGAAAGTTCTCAATTCGTCAGTATTTGTTCCTGTAAATAATTACATATTTTGCAATCCAATAAATGTTTTGTGTAGTATCAGCTTCCATCTAGACACTCTCCTTTTCAATCTTTCTTATTATTTCTATTTTATATTAAATATTCTCCTAAAATGTATTTTTCCAGCTTCTCAAGTCAACCCTCACCATCCATATCGCCCTCGTCCCGGCATTGTTCTTGATGATACCGATTTCAAACCTCACGGTACCCGGTACAGACCCTCAGAAGTTGCCGTCATTACAGCACCGGAGACCAGACTACCAGGGTATGGCGAGATCTTTGACGTGACCGTCTCTGCTATCCAAGGCCCTGGAGGAAAAGGGGCATCAGGTTAGTTGTAGTATCTTACGTATGTTTCCTTGGTTAACTAGAGAAAAAAATTAACTTGTAACATAAAATGTATTTCCTTTTATTTGTGGTTGAATAGTAGTGAGTAAGTCTGTAGTTAATTTAATTGTGATGACTTTGTTATTGAAATCAACTTTAATCGTATAATGTAGTAAAGATGATTTGATTAGTTTAAATTGACATCTGATTACTTCCAGAAATTTTGTTTCTACTTCCTGTAAATCTGTTCCTTAATCTTTATTATAATGCATACCTTAGTAGGTTCTCCTTTGACTTAATCAATAATCAAATTAATAGGTATACCTACTAAAGACAAAATTATGAATTTCAGTTCACATCGGGAACGTCAATCCGGTGTCCGGGCACTCTGATCACGACGACATTATAGTCACAGCGTCTGGTGACCAAGGCTTCGTGTCCATTGACGGCAAGAGGACCTACTTGAACCTCTTCGACAGTTCTACTGTTGCTGAGGTCAGCATCAGACCGACGCATGTGCAGAAGCCACCGCAGGCTTCAGGTAAGCAGTTGACAAGCTTTGATCAATATTAATCGATGTTGATAACCTACAACTCAAACTTCAGTAAGGTATAGTTCATAAGAGCTTTATTGCCTACAAATACTAAAATAAACCTAAAAGGCGTGATTGAATTGTTTACTCCTGTATGATTATGTAAGATATAATATAGCGCAGTAAGCAATAACACAAAGTTGCCTTAAAGTGTTTTTTAAACCATTACGAATGTAAGAATATGGATGGGCGAGCGGAGCAACATTCCACTCGCTCCTGGTATCTATCAGTATTTTCTATAGATTTATAAATGTACCAGTTTAAAGTTTAATTTAACAATTTAATGAATGAGTTGGAAAGGTTCATTTATTATTTGCTTATACAGTTCCACCGCTACCAACACGTCCGCACGAGCCGACACTCGGCACCGGAGTGGCGATCCCCACAGATGAGTTCCCCCACTCCCCCACGCCACCGGTACGCCGCCCGCAACCCCATCACCCGCCGGGCCATAGTCGGCCGCAGCAGCCGTATAGAAGACCGCATCCTACAATAAGGTATGTAAACTTTTTAAAATAGTTTTTGTTATAACTCTAATATGCCTACACGGTTTATTGATAAATCAATATCTTTTTGAAATCTAAATCTCAATTTAACTAAAACTAGATAAATTCCATATTATATTAACGTCAAATTGACAATAACATTTTTCTATGGGTTAAAGCTAGTTTTAGTTGAATCTTGATTAAGCAAATTTGCTGTAAGTGTGCTTTAGATGGTTATGGGCTGGGTTTAACAAAGCGAGTGAGGACGTGAGAAAAGAATTATCTAAGTGCTAAAGACTGTAATGTAGATTCAGCCGGGATAAATGGCTTAGCGCGCGATTGAGTGAACAAAATTCAACATAATTTAAGTAGTACTTGGTCACAACACTAAGAATAGCCTGCGATAAACTAATAAAACAAAGAGATTAGCGTTATAATAAGACCCATTAAGATTGTACGAGACATAGCATTCTACTTATCATTTAGTTCAGCACAACCTAGCACTTAATAGCATATTCTAGCAAGTAGGGAAGCACCCTACAAAGATAATGAATATGTGTCTAACGAATAATCGTTATTTTTTATTGCAGGATCGATACATGCATCGTTGGAGATGATTCAACGTGTGACCAAGCACAGAACGAAAAGTGTAGAACTGAAGCGGGTACGTGAACTTTTTAATTCAAGTATCTCACAGGGTAGCACCCTGAGACCCTCACTCTTTAAAGCTTTAAATTTGAAATATTCTCATATTAGAAGGATAATAAACATGGTTCCATGTTACTCGTATAATAACGTATTTCCTTTTCAGGAATATCAAGCTGTCAGTGCAGACCAGGTTATGCTAGAAGGACTCACAGAGATCCTTGCAGGCGAGTGGTCTCTCTACTTCTGAATCTAAGAGTGGATAGACTCTATGATAGAAAGGTAGGTGAAATTTGAATCATAATCTCTATTCGACAAATATTTTCATTACTTTATTTATTTTGTGTTCAAATTCGGAAAACATTTTTCAAATATTTAATTACAAAAACTGATTTTGTGATCTGTATAAGTTTCCACACTATCAGATTTAGCGACAATAATGCCCAGGATGTTGTTGCTGCAATACAGGTAATTTGTTTTAGGGTTTCGTATACATACAAGGGTAAAAACGGGACTCTATTCATGATTAATTTCACAGATGATGTATTTCTGTTGCCGCTATAACAACAAATACTAGAAACAGAATCAAATAAAAGAAACAGGGAGACGCTTGAAATATTCACAGAATATTTATCCCAGACGTGACTTTTCTGCCGTGCTTGCTCGATATTATAATATAGTGTCTAATGTAGTTGTATAGATAATGATACGGAATCCTTTGTGTGCTAGTCCGACTCGCACTTTGGCCTGTTGTATTTCATTAATGTGATTTTTTTATTTCAGGTGGCCTGGGATGCGAAATTATCAGACAAAGAATCAGATCCTTATCAGCAACTCAGTTTTGAAGCGATTAGGGCTGTAAGTAGAATTAATTTATTTATATATTATATAAAGAGAGAAAAGGATACACTGACAAAATTACTCATCAAAGAACAGCATCTGAAAATTCTCTCAAATTCTCTTATCTAAAAAAAATAAAGACTTAATAAATTCCAGATGGTTGCATGTCATGTCAAATCTTAGATTAGTTTGTCACGACGGCTCATTCTCCCTATTCTATCCATAGGGAAGGTCTGTGCCACAGCAAACATTTTTTTAAAGTCTCTTTCTTCAATAGATCGACTCTGCGTTCTCCATGACCCCATTCTCTGATGACTTCGTGAGTGCAACAGTTAACACCATACACCGAGGCGACGAGAGCAATCAAGGCGTGTTTGTCAACTATACAGTGCTGGTAAGACTTCTTGACTATTCCACGAAATAAAATCGAGCAAAAACCATACTGGGCACCGGTGTCAATTCAGGTTGCATTATTGAAGATTTTATATGAGTTTTTGAAGTGAAAACTTCTTTAACGGCGTTGTACATTTTTTTTGTATGGGTAAAAAAATGTTAGGTTAAACACGTGGGCTGATCGCATCATGACACACAATAAAATTGGAAAGGTTGTTGACTTTCGATATATTGGACGAAACATAGTAATATTTTATTTTATCGTATTATAATAATACGTCTCTGTCTAGGACGTTCACGTGGCAGTTTTATTGCGAAGAAAATGCATTTTTTTTTACAATAGATGACGTTAAGTGCGCTTAAACGTGATCATGTAAGTTGATTTTTCTGAGAGATAACCTTTTTTAATGTAATATAAATTGTCATGTACTATAGCGCAATAAATAAATATTGTATTCTACCACATACATGATAGTACTTTTATACCGATAATTAAAGCAATTCGTGCAAAATTATTCCCTTACCATTCCAAAATATCAAAAATGCACAACGTTAATATTCAAGTTTTCACTTCTGCCGGCCCTCCCGGAGTGCAACCCGTCGGTTTTTTATTCAAATCGCTAAATACCTGACTTGTCATTTTGTGATTCTTGAGTTCTTGAAATATTTCATAAAATATCAAATACATGTTTATTTGACAGATTTCTATGACAATGCGTAAAAACACCTGAAATTTAAGAATTCATAATTATGTTTCATTTAAGATCCCATGTCAGTCAGCGATTGCATAGGTTAAGCAACTCCTAAATAAGGTCAGGAATTGGATGAGTGACTAAAATTATATTCATACTTTGGATTGCAAAGTTTTTATTCCATATTCTTGGACATACATATCTTGCGTGGTGGATCACGGCCCACTCTTCCTATTCCATCCATAGGGAAGACATGTGCACCAGCAGTGGGGATATTAATAGTGGGTTATATTCTTTAACCCGATTCTATCCATAGGAAAGACCTGTGCTTCTTTTTGAATGAGTATGCAGTTGGTCGCAGGTGAACTTTACAGCGTCATCGGGTTTGGGGACGGCAAGATCCTAAGGGGACCGTGCCTAGAATTGGCGAGTGCCTCTAGAGGTATTCCTGGCGGATGGCATCTCCAAACGGGGGGAGTCTCCTCTCCATCTGGAGCCTCTAGACTACAAGGTCTCCCGCCGTAGATTGGCGAACCGATGGCGTAGCTTTTCGACATTCACAAGTGCTTGTAACAGCCTAGACTGAATAAATGATATTGAATTTTGAATTTTTGAAACACTTCAACCTAAGGGGGTAGACCTGTGCCCTAGCAGTGGGGACATAAATAGGCTGATGATGATATCTTGGCCCAGTATTTATCCTGGTATTGAAATCCCTATTCCGTTCTCAGATGCAAGAAACTCCAGAGACTCTACGAACAGCGGTAGCATCAGACATCCAGAAACACATTCTGGGAGTGATACGACGTCGTTCGAACAATGTTGGAGCTTCAGCTTTGTATGTGGATACTCCGGCAGGAAGTGTACTGCCTTTGAGAGGTTGGTTTACTTGGTGACTCGGTTGTAAAGTATTTCCTACAGCCAATTCCTAAATGTTGTTCTCGTAGTGATCAATAATATAATTTGTCTGTTTAGAGGAGTTTGTTTATAATGGTTAAGGTATAGTTGCTTGCTGACCAAAAACTAGAAGTTCATATTAATATAGTTTTGTGTCTTAGGTTTTCACACACATCACTCATTAAATAAAACTAGTTTAAACGGGTTAATGCACGACAGAAGGGACGAAGCAGACCTGGGGCCTGAGCCATTCGCCTAACGGAAATGCTTTGTAAAACGCTAACGCTTACGATTTTATTTTCTTATTTCTTGCCGCCTGAGGTTTTCAAATGCCTCGCGTTCTTTCTTTTTCTTTTGCATTGGTAATAACAATATTAAAAAAAATAGCGTGAGGTATTTGAAAACCTTCGGCGGTCAGAAATAATAAAATAAAATCGAAAGCGTTAGCATTTTTTACAGCATTTCTGTTAGGCGAATGGCCCCCTGAAAAGGCTGCGAAACGTCAATAAATAAAGTTTCGTGCATTAACCCGTTAAAACTAGTTTTATTTAATATGTTTTGATTTTTAACATTAAAAAGCTAAATGAATATGTCAATTTAAATTAAAATTAGAAATTTAGATACGATTTTATTTTCTTATTTCTAGCCGCCTGAGGTTTTCAAATGCCTCGCGTTCTTTCTTTTTCTTTTGCATTGGTAATAACAATATTAAAAAAAAATAGCGTGAGGTATTTGAAAACCTTCGGCGGTCAGAAATAATAAAATAAAATCGAAAGCGTTAGCGTTTTTTACAGCATTTCTGTTAGGCGAATGGCCCCCTGAAAAGGCTGCGAAACGTCAATAAATAAAGTTTCGTGCATTAACCCGTTAAAACTAGTTTTATTTAATATATTTTGATTTTTAACATTAAAAAGATAAATGAATATGTCAATTAAAATTAAAATTAGAAATTTAGATACATTAGGTTATGTTTAAATATAAAAAATAGAGGGAAAATAAATCCATTAAATTCGGTGTTTTTAAAAGTTGATGAAGAAAGAAACTGTTTGGTGCTTTAATAAAACCTCATTTAAAGCCAGAAAGATCCATTTTGCACATGTCATAATTTTTTCAAATATTATATTATTAATGTTAGTTGCATGTTACGGAAAATTTAATACTTACACAATTTTCACACATCAGTCCATTTAGATTTAACAATGAATATGTCTGAATAATGTAGACACTAATATTTAAGTATGCTGTGCTGAATTTCATCAATGTATTTTACTTTATTTTTTCTGCAGATTTGGACGAATGCTCTTCGCCAGAACTCAACGACTGTCACCAGTTAGCTACATGCATCAACAGCTTTGGTGGATTCAGGTATTCATTAATTGTTTGTCAAGATTATTATTATTAAGTTTGAGTCTATGTGCTCTAGCTTTGCCCACATCTTAGCTTAACATCAGATGCGACAGATGTATTATCTAATATATAAAATTCTCGTGTCACGGTGTGCGTAATTGACCTACTCCGAAAAGGCTCGACCGATTTTCGTGAAATAATATATGCGTATTCAGTAAGTCTGAGTTTTTTTTTGTTTTGCACAACCGATTTGTGAAAATAACAAAATAATTACAGAATAAGAGAATCGGACAACATCTATTTTTCATCCTTCTAAATGTTAAGGGTGGTTCACCCTCAATTTTTTTTATTCTTTGGACAAAGTTTTTTGTTTTTATTTTTTTGTGATACTTCATTCAAAAATACATACAACCCTAAATTTTCACCTCTCTACCACCAACCCTTATTTTTATGGCGGAACGAAATCCGCTGGGTCAGCTAGTAATGAAATTAAAATTGAACTCTCAAATGTGTATGGTTATGAAGATAGGATTTACTGTAGCCATCCTAACTTTACCAGGGCAGTTCACGAAAAGATTCTTCTTCTCTTGAAGATTGGGCGGTAAAATATAATATTAGATGAGTAGGTCAGTAGTCAGCCACTCTGTTCAAATAACAGTGAGCATTTTGTATTATCATCATCATCATTAGCCTATTAATGTCCCCACTGCTGGGGCACAGGCCTTCCCTATGGATGGAATAGGGAGATTGGGCTATGACCCACCACGCTTGCCCAGTGCGGTTAGTAGGTGCTAACGACTGCAGATGCAGCCGGAGCCAACGGCTTAACGTGTCTTCCGAAGCACGGAGGAGCTCGAGATAGTAAATTTTCGGTCACCCATCCAATGACCGACCACTGCGAAAGTTGCTTAAAATCAATGATCGCAGCGGAACACGCTAACCACTTGCGCCAGCGAGCTCCTCATCGCTCCTCTGTATTATACTTTTAATATATTCTCGTACAAAGAAAGCATATGGCCCATCTGATGGAGAGCCCTCACTTTATCTTATAAATGCTTGAGATACTGTAACTGATAAGTCGCACGTTGAATATTCTGACCCCATCCTCTTTCTCTTGGAGTCTTGAAAACTTAACTCATCTAAAGAAAAGTTTACTAGAAAAAAAATGGTTGCCTGTAAAGTCGGTTTTACGGGCGAAGATTTTACGTGACAACGTCTTTTTCTCGGTAGAATATTTATTGATATGAATATAATTAAATTGCACAATAGGAACAAGGAATTGAATGAAAATAAGAATTGCACAAATTTTAACTATAGAAATATATTTTGTTTACTAAAACATTGTACATGTAAACTTAAACTTAACACGAGAGACTCATCGTAACGTTACCGAGCGTTACACTTTTTCATAAGTGACTCCCAGCCGCAACCTAATTTAAGACGTTGTCACGTCAAAAAATCAACGCGGACCATTATGCTGACGTGGTAGCATAATGGTCAGTGCATTCGCCCGGATAGCGAAGGATGCGGGTTCGAGTCCCGTCCGCTGCCTGGTCCGCGTGGATTTTTTTTTCTAGTAAACTTTTCTTTAGATTTAAACATCTAGCAGTTAAATGCTTAAAAAATAAATAAAATCATAAACTTAACTCATAACATAACATTATAGCTATTAACGGGATTGTTACCATGTACCTTGTTTTTTACGAGTCTCCGATTTTTCGGCACTGTTGCAAGCGCCATGATCACGTAGTAACTGCGTTAGTTACTCTAACTATAATAACCAAAGAGATTGCTTTTAGAAAGAGATAGTATAAGTCGCACGTTGGCTACTCTGACCCCATCCTCTTTCTCTTGCAGTCCTGAAAACTTAACTCATAACATAACCAAAGAGATATATTGTTTTAAACTTTCATGGTCACTAACATTATAGCTATTAACGGGATTGTTACCATGTACCTTGTTTTTTACGACTCTCCGATATTTCGGCACTGCTGCAAGCGCCATGATCACTTAGTAACTGCGTCAGTTACTCTAACTATACTAACCATAGAGATTGCTTTTAGAAAGAGAGAGTATAAGTCGCACGTTGGCTACTCTGACCCCATCCTCTTTCTCTTGGAGTCCTAAAAACTTAACTCATAACATAACCAAAGACATATATTGTTTTAAACTTTCATGGTCACTAACATTATAGCTATTAACGGGATTGTTACCATGTACCTTGTTTTTTATGAGTCTCTAATTTTTCGGCACTGTTGCAAGCGCCATGATCACAGAGTAACTGACGCAGTTAATCTGTGACTTTGTGATAGAATGAAGTGCTGTGTGAAGAGATTGCTAACTGCTTACTTAGTAATCTCTTTGGTTATTCGGCCTTACCGCTCAAATTGGATTTAGAGCTTTCCACCTTTTACATTAAAGTATATTTTCCTTTACACAGGTGTACATGTCCAGATACCACTTTGGACGAGTCCAGTTCTCCAAGTACTGCCGGAAGATCGTGTAAGGCGTGCCCATCAGCACATTGCAACGAGAGAGGAATGTGCAAATATTCCAATGGACAACCTTACTGCAGGTAATTATTAGCAAATTCAAAAAATCTAAATAAAAAAAATGGATGCGTGTAACTTATGTACGCGCGTGAGAAGTTATACTTCTTTAGCATCATTAAAAATATTTTTTAATTGCATGCAAATAATTAATAATTACAATAAAATAATAAATAAAAAAAAGGACTGGAAAAGGATAGTTAACACAGTCAATTAAGTTCAGTTTTAATTTGAAAAATTAAATAAATATTTAAAATATTCAATTAAAATTACTACTGAATTTAAGTTATTAGTCCATATGTAATTAGCACTTGTAAGTAACTAAAACACGCTGTGTCTATATAGAAACTAGAAACATGTGGATAAATATTATAAATATGAAAACAGTGATCAGAGGCGACGAGCGTGCCAATATTGTTTTTGACAACGCGATCATCTTATGGAGCTCCGTGGATCGTTCAAAGTACCTTTCGAACAGATGTCTAATAATGGTGGATTATGAACCACTAAGTGGTTAATAATCCACCATTATTAGACACTAACATTCATAACGCGCCCGCGGCCAACTTCATGGTGTTACTATTGTGTTACAGTGATGCGCGCGCATCTCGAAATTTCACTCACATGATTTTTTCATAACGCGGCCGCGGCCAACTTCATGCTGTTACTTTTGGGTTACAGTGATGCGCGCGCATCTAAAAATTTCACTCTCATCATTTTTTCATAACGCGCCTAAAGAAGTATAACTTCAAAAAAGCATTAATTCAGTCTAGACTGTGATAAGCACTTGTGATGTTCAAGAAGCTACGCCATCGGTTCACAAAACTACGGCGGAAGACCTTGTACTGAGAAGATCCGGCAAGAAACTCAGCAAGGGCTGTTTTTTTCTCCCTGTATTGTTATATATTTATCTTCGCGGTTTCAGCGTTGGTCCCATAATAAAACTTGTTCCTGTTGATGGGTAGAATCACCCCCCAGAGGTAGTTGGTGTTTTAAAATTACCCCTGTATATACGTACGTCATTGCATAATGTTTTGTCGACAGCTGCAAGTCCGGCTACTACGGGTCGACTTGCGAAGTGGACGGCGAAGTTGTAGGAGTCGCTGTAGGTGCTTCCCTCGCCGCTGCGCTCGTCATTGCGCTCACTCTCGCCGCGCTATTGTCCTGGAGGTAACTATGGATACTACGACAAAAAAAAAACTAGGTATTAGTACCGCACCTGGTATCAAAATAATACCAGGTATTTATACGCCACCTGATATCTGATCAATACTAGTTAATGATGTGTAACATCTTTCCTTTTGCTTTCGCGCGCTATTTGATTTGATTTTAGAACATAATGTTCAAATGGTTCAAAAGGAATAAGCTCCTTTTGTAGTCGGTTTTTTTTACTAATAGAGGGTGACGATACTATCGCTGTTAGTATCTATTTGTACATAATGAGATTCTGTAATTGGCCTTAAGATATTATTTATATTTTATTTTATTAAATACACAAAAAACCGCTGCAGAAAATTTGTTAAAGTTAAATAAATAAATATGAATGTCACAAATTTTATTTCCAGCCGCAAATGGTCTCGGGAGCAGAAAGCCATTGGCATGGGATCACCGGTGTTCAACTACATGGCTGCCAACACAATAAAAACGCCACCTGTCGGTCAGCCGCCGTACCAAGTGAGTTTTCTAATAAACTGCTTTAACATTTGGCCAGTTAGGTAGATATTTACATCTCATTTTTTTTATTTATTTATTTATGGACCATCAACACAGCTATATTAATACAAACAAACTTACACATATGCTTACGTATTAGGATATAATATAACTGTAATTAAAGATGGCCTCATCATGCGCTAAACAGTAAACAGTTTTTCTTTTTACATTTTCTACATACGGAATTTACTACACAACACAAATATTTGCCCAATCACAGAACAATCACAACAGTCTATCATGCTCTATAATTATTTAAAATCTCATACTGTTTTAAACTTTCATGGTCACTAACATTAAAGCTATTAACGGGATTGTTACTATGTACCAGGTTTTTTATGAGTTTGCGATGTTTCGGCACTGTTGCAAGCGCTATGATCACGGAGTAATCGTGTTAGTCCGTGATCATGGCGCTTACAATATAAAACTAAAACAAGGTACATGGTAAAAATCCCGTTAAAAGCTATAATTTTACATTAATTTTTATTTATTCACTTTTACAAAGAGAGTAGAAAATATCATCAACTTGAATTGAATCCTAAAATTCATGTAGACGAATTGGCGTGTGAGTCAAGGGCGGATCCAGGGGGGAGGGGGGGGGGGGGTCATGGGGGTCATGACTTCCCCCTGGGCTGGGTACAGATGGACCAACCCCAGGGGGATTTTATTTGAGTACTTTCAATATTTAATATACCACGACTATATGACCCCCCCTGGCGCCAAAGCTGGCTATATGACCCCCCCCTGGCGCCAAAGCTGGCTATATGACCCCCCCTGGCGCCAAAGCTGGCTATATGACCCCTCCCTGGCGCCAAAGCTGGATCCGCCCTTGGTGTGAGTACATTAAAAAAACACATTTTATTACTGTGTTTTGTTGCCATTTCCAAAAGACAGTGTAGTCGGCGTAATACGTAATGCTACTCAAGTTAATCGAGTGTTCATCTAAAATGTAATGTTTTTTCATCAGGTAACACTGGAAGAGAGGATGAGATGGGCGCAAATAGCTGAGGCAATGGCGCAAGCGCAAGCAAACCACTACGCTGTAAGCAATATATACAAGCTAAATCAGTACTGCAACTAGGCCATTTTGTTGAGATAAATACCTACGCACAGACTGAGCGTTAGGGTTGTCACTCTTAATGTTTATAAATTAATATCCTTTTATTTATGTTTTTATTTATTTTTAAGCATTTAACTGCTAGATAATTAAATCTAAAGAAAAGTTTACTAGAAAAAATCCACGCGGACTAGGCAGCATTGTGGGTTACCTACAATGCGAAGAGATGGCGCTGCCTTGCAGCTTAAGGCTAGGAATATTTCGTCGCGGCCAATAGGGCTGTTAGTGCCTGAGCTTAGTGGATGTTAAAATAATAAAGTTGTTACCGAAAATAATTACGTGTTTATTGTTTGTTCACAAAATGTTCTTAAAATACTATAATAATGTATGTTAATGAGTGCGTTCGCTTATGCATCGAAATCTACACTAATTTATATTTGCACCGCGGCTAATGACCTAAATTAGGCCAGGCGCCGTGACGGTGTTAAGTATTGCAAAATAATTAATAAGCAAAATATAAATGTTCGGTTATGCACCGAACATATTCCCGGGGCGGGAAAATTGAGGAAACTTAATACAAAAGATAAAGGGTTAGTTAAGCTGATGAAACTAATTGATAAAACAAAAATATTTTCTTATATCTAATGTTAAAACAATGATAAATTGAAAAAAAAAATAAAGATAAAACTGTTCTTATTAATATTTCATGGCATTCTAATAGTTTTTCGTGTCAATCTTCACTAAACACTAATTTCTTCGGCACGTAGCCTGGCTTTAACACTTTTAGTTCTGTTTCACTATTATATTTACGCACTCGCGCACTTTCACCCGTCTCACAAATATCACTCACTTGACACATGCTGACGGAGCGGGAGGCGCGGGAGGCGCGGGCGGCGGGCTGGACAGCAGTCTCCGGCTCCGTGGCCGCCGCCGGCGCCTCCGGAGTACCCGTTGATGATGAAGTCACCGCTGTTACCTCTTTCTTGTTGTTTCGCACTCGCCGGCATTAGAGTGACATCGGTAGCTAATAATCCGGAGATCATGTTGAGTTCCTTTGTTAACTGGTCTGGTGTTAATAGATGTAGGTTGAAGTGTCCTTGATACAAGTCTGTTGCGGTATCTAACAGCGTATCTTGAATATTTTTTAGCGTTTGTAACATGCTCTGTGCAGTTATGGCTGATAAAGCAAAGTTTAAAGACTGTTCCTGTTTCGTTGTTTGTCTACTTAAATCAATTACTTCTTTTTCGATCTTGTTAAATTGTTTATTGATAATTTTGTGATGTTTTGATATTATGTCTTCCGTCCTTTTTACTAAGTTGTATTGCGATTCTACGAGCGATGTTTGATTTTTCCATAATTTATATAGATGTACTTGATTTTGTTTTATTTTGTTTATGTCCTTAGTGTATTGTTCGGCGAATCGTTCGTCTAATACACCGAACAGACTGTTCGCCAGATACCCGACACCGTCGATAAGGCCCCGACGCTGTCTGGCGTGCCCGTGGAAAAGCTGACTTAACAACAGCTGGTTATAGTACTTTACTTCCGAGTACTGGTGATTCAAATGATTCATAATAATATTGCATTGCTCGTTCGCATTACCTGGCGTACAAGAGTTTTCTAAATATTGATATATTTTTTCAAATGCCGTGTTTCCTTCCCAATAGGGTGACATGTCATAGTACACCACTAGTGTCCAATGATCTCTGCTCAGTTGTAATTTTGTTTTATGGTCGAAATATAACGTTTGATTTTGTTGAAGTTCTGTGATAGTAGTTACACCAAGTATGTTTGTAAATAATGTTAGAAAATAAATGAGCGTCATAAATATTGTCGATAATGTTGCTTTCTTGTTACGTGTCGTTCGTGTATGTTTTTGTTGCTGACCAGGTTGTTCTTTTTCGCTAGTTGACTCCAAATTAATTCTGTTTGTAACAGGAAGCAAAGATAATTTAACTACGGGCCTCTTTATTGGACCATTTGGTGTTTGAAGAGTCACAACTCGCACGTAACCATCTGATCCCGGGTGGGTTTCGATGACTCTCCCGATGGCCCATTTTCCTGCTGGTAAATTGTTTTCATGTATTATAACAATATCATGGATTTTAATGTTTTGTTGAGGGCTCATCCATTTTCTTCGCGCCTGTAATTGTGTCAAATATTCAGACTTACATTTATTCCATATTTCTTGAAATATTTTGTTTGTTAAGTACCACCTGCTCCTTGCGTCCTCGGCTGTGTTAATAATGGTACCTCCTGGTCTTCCTGTTAAGAAATGCGCTGGCGTTAGCACTTCTAAGTTTTCTGTATCCTCAGTTAGGGCGCACAGAGGCCTAGAGTTGAGGCAAGCTTCTATTTGGGATAGAATGGTAGACCACTCTTCAAAAGTAAGCTTTTGTTCTCCCACGACGCGTTTCAAATGATGTTTAAGGCTTCGTACGGCACGTTCCCACAAACCGCCCGCACTTGGCCATGACGGCGCGTTAAAGTGCCATTCGATTCCCATTTCTGCTATTTCTGATAAAAAGCTGTTTTGAAAAGATTTCATAATTTGTTGGTACTCTTGCTTTAAAATGTTATTGGCTCCTTGGAAATTGGTGCCGTTATCGCTGTAAATATGGGCAGGAGTTCCACGCCTGGCAGCCATTCTCCGCAGGGCAGCAATAAACGCCGAACTGGTGAGGTCAGATACGATTTCCAAATGCACAGCTTTTGTGACCATGCAGATGAAAACAGCAACATAACCTTTGGTCGTCTTCGCACCGCGGCCCTTGTTGAGTTTGACATCCATGAAACCAGTATAATCTACTCCGGTGTGGTAGAATGGTGGGGCTGGGTTGACTCTTGCTTCAGGAAGGTCACCCATGAGTTGATGTTGATTCAGCGGATGGTTTCTTTTGCAAATGACGCAATCTTTTAAATGTTTCTTGATAACTCGGAGTCCGCCGGTTATCCAATAATTTTTCCTGAGATGTGCTAAAGTGAGTGATGGGCCACCGTGAAAAGTTTGTTGATGAGCTTGAATAATAAGTAAGCTGGCAATACGACTATTGGCTGGGATGATAATAGGATGTTTTGTACTCAAACTCAGATCTCCGTGTCTTATACGACCACCGACTCGTAAGATATTGTCAGAATCTATAAATGGATTTAAGTTTAAAAGATATGATTTAGATTTCACAACTTTGTGCTTACATAGATGGTCAATATCCTCAGTGAACTCATTTATTTGCACGTATTTAATAATTGTCAATTTAGCTTTTTTCAACTCTTGCAATGTGATATAGTGTGGTAACTGCTTACGCTGCGGGTTCAATGCTCGCTGTATCCACGCAGTTATGCGAATGATTTTTGTTATATTACTGTATTTAATTAACATATTATTAATTACGTTATCGCAATTTTTCGTTTGAACGATGTTTGACTGCTTTATATTTTTTGATCTGGTTTCTAAATTTGTATCATATTTTCGCAGCTCTGATTGTTGCTTATCATGCTCAGGGAGCCAGGACGGACCCTCCCACCATAAGGAATGTTCTTTTAACTGATTAGGATAGAGTCCCCTGCTCGCCGCATCTGCTGGGTTTTCATTAGATTTGACATAACGCCAACAGTGAATAGGTATAATTTTGACGATTTTTTCAACTCTATTCGAGACGAAAGGCTTCCATCGGCTCGGTTCCCCTTGTATCCAACCCAGAACTGCCATGGAGTCTGTCCAGCAATAGAGTTCGATATGATGTTGATTTAATGCTAATATAATTTTGTCCGTTAATTTTGATAACAATGAAGCTCCGCTAAGTTCTAATCTTGGTAGAGACATTGCTTTTTTGTGCGGCACGAGCTTGCTTTTGGCCGCTACTAGAATGGATTTTTGATTATTGTTTACTCTCGCGTATACAACACAAGCATAAGCTTTCTCTGACGCGTCACAAAAGCCATGTAGTTGAATGACGTCAGTGCCGCTGCATGATAACCATCTAGGTATTTCAAAACTACTTATCAAATGTATGTCATTTTTTAATTTTGACCATTCCTTGTAAATGACGTCAGGAACGACATCATCCCATTTTAAATTCATTTTCCATAAGGTTTGAAAAAGTAGTTTATGTTTTGTTGATAATGGAGCTAGCCAACCCAGAGGATCAAATAACTTTGAAATGTCGGACAATAAACTCCGTTTTGTAGGTTTAATGTTATGTTTTGTAACTTGATAATTAAATGTAAATTTGTCAGTGGATGAGTTCCAGCATAATCCCAATGTTTTCGAGTTATCGTCCGTTTTGAAAGTAAATATTGTGTTTTCATTTCTGTTAACATCTTTTTTCAAATTTAGTAATAATTCGCTGTTATTTGATGACCACTTCCTCAAGTTCATTCCTGCCCTTTTCAATAATAGAGTAAGGTCTGCTATAAGCTTTTGACCTTCAGATATAGAATATGACCCATGGACAAGGTCATCGACGTAAAATGATGACTCCAGCACCTTTGACGCAGCGGGAAAATGTTCTTGTTCGTCGGCAGCTAACTTTCGTAATGTCATCATTGCTAAGTATGGAGCTGCCCTTGTTCCATAAGTTACAGTTGTTAGCTTATAAGATTTTAGTGGCTGTTCAGGTTTTTCGCGCCATATTATTTTTTGCAAGCTCTGATCCTGTTCATTTACTAGTATTTGCCTATACATTTTTTCTATATCAGCTGTAAATACGTACTGATATTGTCTCCACTTTAAGAGTAATGTTTGTAAATCTTGTTGGAGATTAGGGCCCGCGTACATTAAGTCGTTTAGACTGTAGCCACTGTTTGTTGAAGCGGAGGCATTAAACACTACCCTGTATTTTGTTGTGCTTGACTCGACGCGACTGACTCCATGGTGCGGCAAATAACACTCTATGCTGGAAACCAAATCGTTGTCAAGTTTCATATGTTTCAATGTTTCATATTCGCCCATGAATTCCTTATAGTCCTTTGCTAGTTGTTTCTG